ATTATTTTTTTTAAAGATTTTATTTATTTATTTGACAGACAGAGATCACAAGTAAGCAGAGAGAGAGAGAGAGAGAGAGAGAGAGAGAGAGAAGGAGAGGAGGAGGCAGGCTTCCCGCTGAGCAGAAAGCCTGATGCGGGGCTCGATCTCAGGACCCTGGGATCATGACTGGAGCCAAAGGCAGAGGCTTTAACCCACTGAGCCACCCAGGCGCCTCTTAAGTCAAGTTTTTTGTTTTTTTTTTTAAAGATTTTATTTATTTATTTGACAGACAGAGATCACAAGCAGGCAGCGAGGCAGGCAGAGAGAGAGAAGGAAGCAGGCTCCCTGCTGCTGAGCAGAGAGCCCGATGCAGGGCTCGATCCCAGGACCCTGGGATCATGACCTGAGCTGAAGGCAGAGGCTTCAACCCACTGAGCCACCCAGGTGCCCCTTAAATCAAGTTTTAAAGAAGATTCTCAAGGTACAACCAGAACCCTGGGTTAGGGTGTGGCAAGCGAGGCACCCGGAGACAAAATGCAGAGACCCTCACTCTGACCATGATGGTGAGGCCCCCGGACAGTCTGCACCCTTGTGCTTCACCTGCCTCACCCTGGTCTTATTCCTGAGAGCATCTACTTTGTGCTGGGCCCTGGGGAGAAAGAGGATAATAACTGCTGTTCATGGCACCTGGCTGGCTCAGTCAGTAGAGCGTGTGACTCTTGATCCTGTGCTTTGTAGGTTCAAGCCCCATGCTGTGAGCACGTATTACTTAAAAAAGAGAGAGAGAGAGAGAGAGAGAGAGAAAACTGCTGTTCAGTTATTCATTATTTACAGCTTACATTACCCACTGTAATACTGAACAGCAGAAATTTGAAGAAGAATATTTATGTTGTTCTACATAATATGCTGGTGAAGTCTGACTTTTTTTGCCTAAGCAGGAAAAGATACAAATGTGTGGCTACACAGCCTCGAAATATGTGGATCTAAAGCTACAAAAACTGGTCTGTCCAAACCATCCTCAGAAGGAAAGGGAGAAACTGTGAAGAACGTAACAAAAGGTCTGAATTCTAACATGAAACAATCTAACATGTTTAGCCATTGAGAGAAACAGACCAAGGTCCCCAGAACTTCTCCTCTGCCTTCACAGCACATTCTAACGTCTACTGGGTCAGCGACCAGATGCTGCCCCTGCTGACCACGCATCTAATGGGAACAGCTCGCTGTACACCTGGAGGAGCAGAACCAATTAATATGAAGACCAAGTTGACCAAGGAGGCAAACTGTTATTAAAAATTTCCACATCGGGGCACCTGGGAGGCTCAGAGGGTTAAGCCTCTGCCTTCGGCTCAAGTCATGATCTCAGGGTCCTGGGATCGAGCCCCACATCGGCTCTCTGCTCAGTGGGGAGCCTCTTCCCCCCACCCCCCGTCTGCCTCTCTGCCTACTTGTAATCTCTGTCAAATAAATAAATAAAATCTTTAAAAAAAAAAAATTTCCACATCATGTTCGCAGTACACTCAGACACTCTTCACTTCATGCCCAGGGGAAAGAGTGTGAGCTTTTGAGTCAGACAATCCATATTCAACCCTGCTCTGCTACTTAACCAGCTGATTAACTCTGGCGGGTTGCTCAATCTCCCAGAGCCTCAGTTTCCTCTCCAAAAAAATGGACACACTACTCCCAGGCTTACCATTAATTAAATGAAATGTATGTAAAACCCATGGCATGGCTGACATACAGGAAATACGTTTTTCTGTTTTTTGTTTGAGGATTTATTTTGTTTAGACAGAGAGAGCATGTGCATGCACACGCAAAGGGGAGGAGGGCCAAAAGGAGGAATAGTCTTAAGCAGACTTCCCGCTGAGTACAGAGCCTGACACGTGGCTTGATCGCACGAACCTGAGACCACAGCCTGTGTTGAAACCAAGAGTCAGATGCTCAATTTACTGTGCCACTCAGGTGCCCCAGGGGATGTCTAATAAAGATTAGCTCTCTTTTTAATTTCCACTTCCTACAAAAACATGGGATGCCTGGGTGGCTCAGTCGGTTAGACATCTGCCTTCAGCTCAGGTCATGATCCCGGGGTCCTGGGATCGAGTCCCACACTGGACTCCCTGCTCAGCAAGGAGCCTGCTTCTCCCTCTGCCTGCTGCTGCCTTGCTTGTGCTCGCTCACTCTCACTCTCTGACAAATAAAATATTAAACAAACAAACAAAAAACATGATGTACCCACCAAAAGAGGACCTAAGATGAAATCATGCACTTAGGCGGGTTTTATTAGTTATGTAGCCATTTCTGGAACCTGTTCATCAGTATCTAACCAAAGAAAAACCAAATCCTTGAGATCTACCCCATATGTTAAACCAAGGAGCTGTTCTTAATTAAGAGGTGCCCAAGGGCCTCTTCTCAACTCATAAAATTACTCTTATCAAGATAGCATGGGCTCTACCTGTATAAACATGGACAAGTTACTTAGCCTCTCTGATTCTCAATTGCCTTGACTACAGAAAGGTGACACAACAGAAGCTGGGAGGTCTTACCTGAGATAATCCCTCAGCAGTGTCAGGCACATTGTAACAGAAAATTTAGTTGTTTGGTGCAGATTTAGAATGATTAAACTCAACTCCCAACCAAACTAAGATCAGTGCTCTGAGGTAGGCAAAAAGATGACAAGGAAAGGACATCAACACAGTGCTCACCCCTGGTTGCATTCTATGTATCTCGCAGCAAATTTCTCCATTAATCGATCAATCTTCTGGGCTTCCCCAGGCAGACGGAAACCTTCTAGAAACGTCCGCAGGGCTGACACAAATTCCTTTTCGCAGAAGTCAAGTTGATCCACGTAGGCATACATCACTTCCTTGTTGAACCTTGTGCTGTCTCCCAGAAAATCACCTACTTGGGTCTGAAACATATACACCCACTCATGTCTAGAAACTGTCATATGTGAACCAACAGTAAAACACACTTCAGACAGAGTGGGGAGGCAGAACGCACTGCTCTCAACACTGAGAAGAGGCTGGCCTGCTAGAAAAGCTGAGACTCCAAGCCTGCCCACCCACCCACCCATTCCAGGCTCAGTCTATCCTGTCTCAGAATAGGAGGAGGAGGCACAGGAGACTTAAAGATGAAAGAATGATGGGACACACTCAGGAGGGAGGTTAGCTGCAGACAGGCAGCCAGAAGTTTCTAGCAGTCAAGGGACACTTCAAGCTCTGACACTGTTCTAGCAAGTACATAACAGGCTCTTAGGAGCTTTTCGCGATGCTGGCTGAAGGAGTAAGTAGGACTGCTATGACCGGGGTGTGGACAATAGCCACTGCACTCGGCGTCCACCAGGCTTTAGGTTAAAGCTAGGGAGCATCTCGGAATCACCTGATAAAACCAATATGCAAGTGTCCAACCCCCAGCCTTACAGAATCAAGGCGCTCCTCCTGATGCAGGAATTGGGCAATGTCTTCAACTGATGTTCCCAGCATGCCTTGCTCCTGGAGAAACTGGATGCCCCTCTTGGGTTTCTTGTTGAAGCTGTTTCAAGAAGAGACAGGACATGGGTTACTTATTTCAAAATCTGGAGGACAGAAAAAGCTAGCCTTTGAGGCATGAACAAGTCATCAGCTATCAGCTCACGAAGGTCCTGGGTGTCCTGCCAGCTTCTCTGAATTTCACCTTCAGTTTCTGACCTAGCTACAGCAGAGTCTGATGGCCGTCAGCAAACATCTGTTCACCTCCGCTCCAACACTAACAGAGCTCTAGATGTTCACCCAGGCACGCAACGCCCCGGATTAAAAGCTACATTTTCCTGCCTTTAGAAAAATTAAACTTAACTCCCAACCAAACTAAGATCAGTGCTCTTGAGGTAGGTATCAGTGCTCTAAGGAAGTGTTTTCATACTTCCTTAAAGTATGGCCACGTGATAAAGTTCTGGCCTATGATGTTTGAGCAGACATGGTAAGGGGTACTTCTAGGCAGGATCCTTAGTAAACAAAGCTGGCTTGGCTGGGAGGTATATTCCTTTTGTACTTCCCCTTTATTCGTTAGTGTATGTGTGATGGCTAGTGCTCAACCTTAGACCATGAGGCAATGCTGAAAGTGGAAACTGTGTTAAGGATGGTGAAACAGAGGGGCTCCTGGCTGGCTCAGCTGGTTAAGCATCTGATTCTTGATTTTGGCTCAGGTCACAATTCTAGGATGAGACTGAGCCCCGTGTCGGGCTCTGTGCAGGATGTGGAGCGTGCTTAAGATTCTCTCTCTCTCTGCCCTCCAAAGCTTTTTAAAAAAAAAAAAAAAAAAAAAAGGATGGCAAAGGAGGAAAAAGTAAACAGTCTAGATCTTTGATCCCTGAGAGCCAGTATAACAGCCCTAGACCATCCGTGTTGGGATTTCCTTTAACAGGGCTTAAGTACTGTTTGTATTTCCTGTTAAAGGTAGGCATACTCCACTATGGATAAGTTCAATGTGCTATTTACCAGGTCCTGCACTGGAGGACGCTCTGTGCCGGGGCGAGAGACATGCAGGAAGGACATGGATCAGGTGCGAGCAAGAGCAGCCTGCAGACAGGCGGCTACAGAAGGCCTCCTAGAGGAAGAGAGGTTTTGCCAAGCCTGAGGGAAGAAAAAGACCCAGGAGTGTTCCAAGCAGAGGGCACTGTGGTGAGAGCTCAGGGTGTTCAAGGGACTGAAGTGCGCAGTGTGACTCGGGTACTGGCAGGAGATCAGGTCAGTGGGGGGTGGGGGGGTGGGGGTGGAGGCCAGATCAGGCTATGATGAGGAGAGGGAAACCTGGAATGATTTTTGGCGGCGGAGTGATAAGACCCGAATTAAGTTTTTAAAAAATTAGCTCCTGCGGGGAGACTAGACTGGGGGTGATAAAGGGCTGGGGAGAATAGAAATGAGATCAACACTTCAATTAATAAGTACTGTAACATAAGCTTTTAAAACAAACTGAATTTACTAAGTCAACTAATCATTAAGAAGTTGGACAGGATATGAGACTGAGTTTACATATTTCTGTGTGTAAAAGACTGGAAAGAGGGGCGCCTGGGTGGCTTAGTGGGTTAAAGCCTCTACCTTCAGCTCAGGTCATGATCTCAGGGTCCTGGGATCGAGCCCCACATCCAGCTCTCTGCTCAGCGGGGAGCCTGCTTCCCCGTCTCTCTCTGCCTGCCTCTCTGCCTACTTGTGATCTCTGTCTGTGACAAATGAATAAATAAAATCTTAAAAAAAAAAAAGACTGGAAAGAAACACATTAAGATTTACCAATGCCTGTAATGATGATGCGCTTATGAGAGAATGTCATTTTTCCAAGATACACAACTGAGGTATTATGATGAGAGCAGATTACTTTCAAATGGTTCAGAAAAAATTATACATAGATAACACTAATATGGCAAGAGTTCATTCTTCTGTATGTTGGAACTGTTCATAAGATATAGTTGGAAAAAAGTTACCAATGGTGATTTCCTTGAGGTAATAATTACATGAGTGATTAAACATACTTGCTTCATACTTTTCTTTATTTTCTAAATTGGTTTAATTTCTTGCATTAGGTAAAATAAAAATAAAAAGACCAGGCATCAACTATACAAAGCTATTAAATTCTAATCTCAAACTGCCTCTCCTTCTCCCACTCTCTCACTCTGGCTGGCTCAGTCTGGCTTGGCTGCGAGTGCCAGCACTGGCCTTTTGTAACAGTCCTTCCCCTAGTGGAGTCAGTCCCAGGTTCCCAGAGAAGATGTGGCTTTGTCAGAGGCCCCAAGAGATTCGGCTGGAGTAGCAGCCATACTCACAGCTCGATGCCGTGTTCGATAATCTCCTTTTGTTGTTTGATGACCTCAAACTGCTCCGGATCATCCTGGACAGCCATCTGGGTCCCCGAGGACACCGTGGACTCCATGGACGTCACACTGCTCCGTCTGGCCATGTCAAGGCCTTTCCCATCCCCCAGTTCCTGATCTGTGGGCCTCTCCTGACCTGCAATGACATAAGAGCAAAGGGAACCAAATCAACAGATGGGACACAGACACACCTGAGCTCAGGTCGGGCTCTCTGGTTCCCTTTTCCAGACCTGTAACGATAAAGCTTGTCCTTTAAGAGTCATGAGCATGACACCTTGACATCACTCAAAAATTTACTTTTTTGTGGGACTTGATGAGCTAATTCTAAAATTCACGCGAGAGAACAGAAGTGTAGAAACCATCAGGACGCTTGAAGAACAATAGGAAGACCTGCCTTAACAGGCATCAGACTCACTAAGGGACTCAAGGCATCTGAAAAGTGTGGTACTGGTGCAAGAACGGAACAGAAAATTCAGAAACAGACTTACACAGGGAAATCTGGCATATCATAAAGCTGGTGCTTCAGGGTGGTGAGGGAAGAAGAGACTACTAAAAAAAACCAGAACGGTTTCTCCATTTGGGACTAGGACATCGGAGCACAACTCACACTATTCTCCCCAAGTTCCAGATGAATTAAAAGGCGGAAGCTTTAAGGCATTCAGCAAACTACAGAGTTTTGCTAATTTTAAGACAGTAACACAAAGATGACTTTCCCAACAGTCCTATTGTGAATGGAGGTGATGGTGTGGCAAGCCCTCTCACCGAGGCTGGTCTGGTGGTTGGGATTCACATACAGGTCTTTGCTCCATTCCACCATGCACTTGAGAATGGACACGAGGCACTCCAAACCTTTCTTCCTCAGACTGAGCTCCTGGGGGACAGAAGGGACATGGCACAGAGACTTAACAGATAAACTGAGTGCAGAAATCTACAGGACTATTAGGGAATTCTGGGACAATACCAAGATAATCACTGACAGTCAGTGCTATTAAGCAGAGAACCCAAGGAAAAGTTAACAGGTGACCTAAGTATTAAGGGTTTATTGCAAAAACCCTGAAAATCGGGGCGCATGGGTGGCTCAGTGGGTTAAAGCCTCTGCCTTCGGCTCAGGTCATGATCCCAGTGTCCTGGGATCGAGCCCCACATCAGGCTCTCTGCTCTGCGGAGAGCCTGCTTCCTCCTCTCTCTCTCTCTGCCTGCCTCTCTGCCTACTTGTGATCTCTGTCTGTCAAATAAATAAATAAAATCTTTAAAAAAAATAAAAACAAAAAACCTGAAAATCCCTAAAGCTGTTCATTACAAATACCTTAGTAGAAAAACAGGAGATGTGTGCTTTCCTAAAAGGAACAGCGTTATCTGGAATTTTTTTTTTTTTTTAATGTAAACGTCTATGTCCAACACTGGGCTTGAACTCACGACTCCAAGATCAAGAGCTGCATGCTCTGGGCGCCTGGGTGGCTCAGTGGGTTAGGCCTCTACCTTCGGCTAGGGTCATGATCTCAGGGTCCTGGGATCGAGCCCCACATCAGGCTCTCTGCTCGGTGGGGAGCCTGCTTTCTCTCTCTCTCTGCCTGCCTCTCTGCCTGCTTGTGATCTCTCTCTCTGTCAAATAAATAAATAAAATCTTAAAAAAAAAATAAAAATAAAAAAGAGTTGCATCCTCTACCTACTGAGCCATCCAGGTGCCCCAAGTGTTATCTGTATTTTTGAAAGGAAGATATTCACTGCTTATATAATTTTAAAAACACCTGTCACTTTCGTTTTTAATAAACCAATAGGGTTGAGTCGCCTGAGTGGCACGGTTGGTTAAGCATCCGACGGTTGGTTTCAGCTCAGGTCCTGATCTCGGGGTCATGAGATACAGTCCCACATCAGGCTCAGCGCTCAGTACAGAGTCTCCTTGGGATTCTCTTCCTCCCTCTTGCTCACCCTCTGCCCCTTCCTCCCCTTGTGCATATGCACATGTGTACACTCTCAAATAAATATAGATCTTAACCAGTAACACCCCCCCACCCAAAAAAAGAGAAAATAATTTTCCATCATGCAACAAATGAGTGATTCTGGACACATTCTTCCTCTTCAAACACTCACAAATGCATTACATTTTAAGGCTTGCTCTACAAATAAAAATACTAATTTTTTAAAAAGTAGCATTTCTTAAAAAATTGAACATGAATCACAGATAATCTAAAGAAATGCAAATATTTTCTACTCAAAACAGCACCTATGGTGGCACAGATCTCTCTGTGAATCTAATGACAGTCACGGACCTTCTAGGGAAAATGGCCATCCACCAAAATTCTACACATAATGCCAGGCAGCTCACAGACCTTCTGACCAGTTCCTTCAGAAACCTTAGCTTAAGATCCTCTTCTCTGTGTGGGCACTCTAATGAGGCAACTGGATAAGAGACAATTTCCTTTGCCTTACTGGAGCCTAGGAGCCTGTTTTCATACAAGCTTTGGAAAGGTGAATGAGTGAACGACTTCCTACAGGTCTCGGCTCAAATGTCACCTTCTCAGAAAGACTACCTGTGTGACCCCTTTAAAAATGCCAGCACCATTTCTAGCCCTCCTTTATCCGTGCTTTATTCTTCTCTGTGGCTTACTCTTCCGTTGCTGACCACAGCAGTTGTACACATTCATGGACACTGCATTTTGTTCATTGCTGTGTTCTAGCACCAAGGACAGCGCCGGCCTGGCACACAGTGGCGCTCAATAAACGTTTATGGAGATGAATGCACTTTATTATTATTTTTCTCAAATGGATCTTTAAAAATAAAAATCCACGCTGGGCATGGAGCCTATCGCAGGGTTTGAACTCACGACCTTCAGATCAAGACCTGAGCTAATAAGAGTCAGACCCCTAATCGAATGAGCCACCCAGACACCGTGAAGCAAATGCACTTTAAGCGGCTGCTTTCTGCTCAGGTAATGATCCCAGGTTCTGGGAATGGAGCCCTGCATCGGGCTTCCATGCTCAGCAGGGAGTCTGCTCCTCCCTCTCCCTCTGACCCTCCCCCTGCTAGTGCTCCTGTTCTCTCAAATGAATAAATAAAAAAATCTTAAAATAACACACACACACACACACACACACACACACATATATATATATAAATGGGTGTTTTCAGTGTTTTTACCTGCAGAGGAGTCATTCCTAGCTCGTGTCCACTTCTTCCCTGAGCGATTTTGGACAAATCATTCACAAGGCGCTCAAAAATGTTAGCAGCGTTTAAATCACAGTCGTAGTTGACATAAATATCTACAACACACTGGGCATCTTGGAAAATAACACAGAGGTATTAGAAATTCTGATCCAACAGACACAGCAGTTACATTTTCTTATTAAATTAGATTCTTTCTTCAAAACTGCTTCCCAGTGAATCACTGACTCAGGTAGACACGAATCTCTCAGGAAATGTGTGTCAGATGTACTACAAGCCTGGAGAGGTCCTCTTCTGACGCCTGCCTCGGCACTCACTGACTCTCGAGCAGCTTACTCTGCCTCTCCAAAGCTCTCTTCCTCATAAGAAAGGGTAACAATTGTCTGATCCACCTCTTAAAGTTGTGTCACTTGTGGATTTATGTCTGATGACAGACAAGTGGGAGGCTTGGTAACCAGCCACACAACTGCATGGTGGTAAGGGAAATCCGAATTGACCTTGGGATTCAGTCAAGGGCTGGCAGCACTAACACCTTGAACCCTGTGACTGACAAAGTGTTCAGTTTGTAGGTGGAGTGACCATGTATCCTGGTTTTGCAGGAGCAGGGGGCTTCCCAGGGTGTGGGACTTTCTGTGCAAAGACCACAAGGTCCGGGTCAACCAGACGGAGCTGGTCATCCTCTAAAGGAGAAGAGGAGTGGGACTAGAGGTCCCACTAATGGTTAGCATTAGGCTTTCAGGTGAGGCTTTCCCAGCGCAACATTAAAACTCTAAAAGCAGGAGGTAAAGGTCTCAAACTGGATTTTGGAAAAGCATTTCTGGGTAAGTCAATGGATGAGCACCCTCAGAGTGAAAATACCTGCACAGATCCTTGTCAAAGTCTGAATGACCATCCACCTGTGCTCAAAAGAACTTGTTGATGTTTCTAAAATGTTCAGGAAAATCTCTTTGAAAAAGACCTACATGACACAGAGACAAAGGGGACACCAATTAATACCGTTTAAATTGGGGCTCAAAAACCCCAAAGGCTGTAGGGGACCAGGCAGCTCCAACGAGGGAGGGAGCCTGGGGAGAAGTAAAGGAGCAGCGCGTACACACACACACACACATACACACACGCACGCACTGCTGAGGCACGTCGGAACCCTGGCCTCCCGGGGGAACAGCTAGCTGGGCAGGACCACAGCAACCGGAGGATGGAGCCCCACTAGAGGAGCCCCTCAGCAACCAGCAAGAGCTGTCAGGCCAAGACAAGGACTAGCGTTACGGTTTTGAGAGAAACCAGAGATCTGGACTGTCATGTAAAATGAAAGTGACCTCTCAATTTGCCAACTAAATCAGATTACTTCAAACAATGTATAGGCTAAACACACATGTTCAGGGGACTGAGACTAGCCCTTGGGTCATTCGATTTAAACTTTGGGTTAAAATGAAAGGCATCTCAGCCATCAAAAGAAATGAAATCTTGCCATTTGCAGCGACGTGGATGGAACTAGAGGGTATTATGCTGAGTGAAGTAAGTCAATCAGAGAAAGACAACTATCATATGATCTCCCTGTGATGCAACATGGGGGAGTTGCGGGGGTAGAAAAGAAAAAAATGAACGAAGATGGGATCGGGAGGGAGACAAACCACAAAAGACTCAATCTCAAAAAATAGACTGAGGGTTGCTGGGGGGAGGGGGGTCAGGAGAGGGTGGTGGGGATATGGACATTGGGGAGGGTATGTGCTATGGTGAGTGAGTGCTGTGAAATGTGTAAACCTGGCGATTCACAGACCTGTACCCCTGGGGATAGAAATATATTATATGTTTATAAAAAAATTAAAAAATTAATTAAAAAAAAATAAAGAAAGAAAGGCACCTAACATCTGGGGGCAGGAACTTCTAGGAAAAGGTAGTTTCTCACTCTGGGGTGCCAGCAAGTGGACCGTGTAAGTCTAGTTCCTGATGACTATGTCACCAGGATTTAACTCTTTGTGTATAAACACTATACAAAAAAAGAAACAAAACAAAACAAAAAGAACCCCCCAAATCATTGTGGAGTCCATACCTCTATTTGCATTTTCAAGTGCATTTTGAAGTTTGAAAGAAGAGTAAGAAAAATGGCAAGAGAGAGTTCAAAGACATCAGGCACTGAAGAGACGCCATTTTTGGACAACGCCACGCAAAGATACTGCTTGATCGCGTTGATGAACATCTCGTGAGTCCTGAAGACCGGGCCAGCGTTCTGCAGGACGGAGAGGAGCAGCTGCAGGGAAACCACTTTGGAGCGCAGCTCGTGGGATCTGGCAAAGGGAAAGACGGCAAAAGTACTAGAAGATTCCATTTTAAAGAGTGCATTTCTTGAGAAGGCCTCACTCCTCTACCAGCGAGCTGAGTTTTCTGAGAGCCAATGAGTTAAGAATTGGCACCGGCATCTAGATGCCAAGAGCGTGAAGGCAGATGGCATGAGGTGGGTCATCCGGGGACCTGTAAGCCCATGAGGACAAGAGCTGCCAACTCCCAACTATCCTTTTCCTCTCCCTGCCATAAAACAGGGGATGCAGCGGGAGCAGAGTAAGCATAAACTTACAGGTTCTGCAACTACAGTTACTTTACATCACACATGTGAGACTAACCCCTGCATCCTCTCACTCTGGGGACAAACAGAAACGGTGCTCTTTATTCACCCACAGGCCTGGAAAGAAGGAAATGTTCCTGAATCATCTCCTTAACGGTCATGATATCTCAACTGGAGAGTTGAGGATTATTGTTAGCTACTAACAAGAACAAGGACAATACAACTCATGAAGTGCCGGGCCCCACACTCAGGATGCGCTGATACCACTTCGTGTCATGGACCCTGTAAGGCAATTTCCCACATCCCCACTTTTCAGATGAGGTTCAGTAACGCCTACAGCTGTGGAGGCGCTTTCAAGCGAGCCAGGAGTGAATGCGGCTCTCTGGCTCCATAGCCCTACCGGCTCTGCAGTAACTAGCTCACTACGAAGCAAGGTTTGGCTTCTCTGGGTTGCATCTGGGGCTTAAACCTGTACCCATGGAGCAGAGGTTTCTCAGCAGGGCAGGGAAGTGAGGTTTGTACACATCCTGCCCCTGCCCACCCTGCATCAGATTAAATTCGTTAGTCGGGAAAAAGATAGTAACATGTTCAGTATAGTAACACTTTCTCGTATATAAGCCAAGGAAAGTAACACTGGACAAAATCTTGGTTAGTGTGGACACAGAGACAATCTATTATAAAAGGGCTATAGGGACAGCAGGAGTCTGAAAACTAAATTCCTGCATTCACACCAATCAAGGGACAGGGTACTGGGGTATCTCGGAACCCCCAACATCCTCCTGAGTCATCTCGGTCATACACGGCCAAGAACTGGTGTCTGCTTACTTTGGATCTGGGGGGCCTTCAGCAAGGGGTTTCATGGACAGCTTGCAAAGCGAGCGAAACACCAGGAAGGCGTCCTTCTGCAGAATGTGAGAGAACCTAGCAGCCACTTGATGTCCCTGTGCATCTGATTCCTGAGGTTAGAAACAAATAAGAGAAAAATTAAGGGGTCAAAACAAAATTATTTTTCAAAAATAAAGAATGTAATTATTTCATGGAAATTTAAAATTCTGTTATTCAATGGGGAACTGAGGAATGTGGGGGAGGGGACAATATGCCAAAACAGGAGCTATGGGGGAGTCATTCTGGCAATTCTAAAACCTTGTTCCTTGTTCTTCAAAAAGTGGGCATGGATGGCTTAAAATGATAAATGAGCAAATGTTAAACCATTAAAAATCTAAGACAAACACAGTTGACCCTTGAACAACACGGGTTTGCACTGCACAGGGCCACTTAGATATGTACATTGATTTTCTCTTCCTTGTGATTTTTTTCTCTAGTCTACTTTATTCTAAGAATACAGTATATAATACGTACATGAAATACGTGTCAATCAATTGTGTATGCTATTGATGAGGCTTCTGGTCAATAGCATGCTATCAGTTGGTTAAGTTCTGGGAGAGTGAAAAGTTAAACGCAGATTTTCGGCCACATGGTAGGGGAGTGTCATTGCCCCTAGCCCCCATGTTATTTAAGGGTCACGTGTACAAGTTAATTATATTAGTTTGGATAACAGTATTTCTAAGAACACTACTGCAGGATAGATGGGGGGAAAACGACAGGCATTTCAAAATACACTTCTTTAACTAAAAAAGTAAGCTGCTTTAAAAAATAAAAAAAAAATCTGTAACGTATGAAAAAAACTAGTATGCTCGACGTACAAAAAGTTCTTATAATTCATTAAGGAAATTACAGAAACCTTCCAGCCAAATGAAAAGCAGGCAAAAAAAACATGAATAAGCAATTCACCAAGAAATGCAAATGACAGATTAACCTAAATAATGTTACTACTAATTATTACGGCGGGATCTTTCTCCCATCAGACCACCAAAATTTGGAATGAAGGCTATTGCCCAGTTTTAATGAGGGAATGGGGAAATGAGCACTGATTGCCTACAAGTGGGCAGAGATTCGAGCATTACCTTCCCAGCAGGCTAATGTGATGTTAAGGAACAAAAGCCTGAAAGCTTCCAACTCGTGACCCAGCAATATCACTTGTAGGAATTTATCCTAAAGAAAGAATTAAGGATGTGCACAAGATTTATCTATAAGGATGCTCATTATAGAACTATTTCTCGTGATTAAAAAAAACTGAAGTAACATAAAAACCTAACAGGGAATTGGCAAAAGAGATTATGGCAATCTACAGGACAGAATTTTACATGACCACTGAAACAGTATGTACTGATGTGGAAAGATGCCCATATAACGGTGTTGAGTAAACAAAGCAAGTCACAGCCTAGTACAAAAGGCAAGAGTCCTTTATGCGGACTGGAGTACATCTGTAAGGACTTTCTTAATGGGGAATGACATAATTCCATGGGGACTGCTACAGACTGAACGCTTATGCTCCCTCCACCTCCGTTCACAGGCTGACATCTAACCCTCAAAGTGATGGCATCTGGAAGTGGGGCTTAAGAGAGAGGAGTCCTCATGAATGGTATTAGTGTCCTTAAGAAGACAGCCACTTGGGTGCCTGGGTGGCTCAGTGGGTTAAAGCCTTTGCCTTTGGCTCAGGTCATGGTCTCAGGGTCCTGGGATCAAGCCCCACATGGGGCTCTCTGCTTCTACATGGGGAGCCTGCTTCCTCCTCTCTCCCTGCCTGCCTCTCTGACTACCTGTAATCTCTATCAAATAAATAAATAAATCTTAAAAAAAAAAAAAAAAAAAAAAGACAGCCATTTTGTGAATCAGGAAACAGGCCCTCACCAGACACCAAAACTGCTGATACCTTTATCTTGGGACTTGCCAGCGTCCAGAACTATGAGAGATAAATTTGTATCATTTATAAGCCACCCAATCTATGGTATTCTGTTGCGGCAACCCAAACACACTGAGACAGGGTCAGGTATTGGTTCTTGGTGGAGGGGTAGGGGAGTTGGGGGTGGAAAAAATCTTATTCTTTGTATGTATAAAGTACAGGTACACGTATAATCGTAAATAGATATCCAGTTTATCAGTGGCTTTAAATTCATGAAAGGGGATGGTGTATCAGGAAAAGAAATATATAAAAAGGCTGGGGGGTTGGGCGCTGATAATGCAAAAGTCTGAGAAACACCCGAGAAAAGGTGGAGAGAGTGGGTTCAGGTGGGATGTTAACATCATCTTTCTCCCTGTTTTGAATGTTTATATATAGCATTTTCAAGAAAACAACAAAGCTATTTAAAAAAAATAATGTGGCAGACACATCTATGGGTCTGAAAGGATATTTGTAATATACACTAAGTTTCAAAAGCAAACCTGCTTTTGCAGCTTTATACAGCAAAACAGCAGTATATCATGTGATTATATTTAAGTCGAAAAAAATGAGAGGCAGAGAAAAATCTAGAAAGATATAAGTAATAGTTAACAAGGGTTATCTCTAGGTTAGGGGATTATGGATGACTTTTATTTCCCTATTTTTCCTTCTCTCTATTTTCTGATTCTTCTATAATGAATGTATATGAGAGAAAAGAGAAAGGCCAGGAAATCTAAGTTTTTAAAAGTCTGAATAAACAAGGTTAGTAACAAAGGTTAGTAATAAACAAGGTTTAGTAACAATGCTATATACACCAGGAGCACATTCCAAGAATGTCACCTACTAATACGAAGCACTTGAGGCAAGGACTGTGTGACTGACTGAGTAAGGTCTGCTGGTTTTCACTTGCTGCTTCTGCTAGAGATTTAATTGTGCATCTTCTAAAAAAGTAAAAATCCAAACGGGTCTGTATAAGAGGAGAATCACCAACATACCAGATTATCCGCTGACGACAAGGACTGCCTGTCGTCTGCTATCCCGTTGGTCTGGGAATTTTCATCAGCTGCTGGGGGAACAGCACCTTCCTGGCACTCCAGTTCACCCAGGACCTGCTCGGGTTCTGTCAGGCCGCGCTTCTGTGCTGCTTCTTAAAACACAGGTGCAAAAAATCATCACCAAGTTAGTGCTCGTCCCAAAAGCTCTGACACCAGGGAGCAGTTACTCATATCATCTTCTAGCTCCTGCTTTTTCCCCTCTCCCTTTGCTACCACCCTAGGAGACTGACATAATAATACTGAGAAAGGCTTAACCAAAGTGGTGTTTAGGCTTTACATGTGTCTACTACCCACACACCCCAGAGGTTTCATTCACACTGCAGGCCATGTCAGTGGTGCCTCTAGAAATGAGCAATACAGCAGCCCTGCCCACTCCTGTCGACTTCTGGAAAAGCTTAGAAACAGCTCAGCATGGAAAGCACAGATTTTTAAAAAATGCTACTGATATAGGGGTTAGAGAAGAGCCATATAAATGAAAAGAGTTGGCAGTTACAACAGAAGACCTCAGTCACAAGGAGGAAAAAAACAAAGTAGACCTGAGCTTCCTGGAAGCCGTGTGAAAAAGGGAAAGACAAAGAATTAAAATTATTCTATTTTAAAGACATTGGTACCAGGACATACATTTCTACATTCTATTAAGTAATTTTATGTAATTCTACATTAAATAAATAATGAAATCTATGAATACAGATTGGTGGTAACCTAAATGAACAAAAGAATAGGGCTTGGGGCACCTGGGTGGCTCAGTGGGTTAAAGCCTCTGCCTTCGGCTCAGGTCATGATCCCAGGGTCCTGGGATCGAGCCCCACATCGGGCTCTCTGCTTAGCGGGGAGCCTGCTTCCTCCTCTCTCTCTCTCTGCCTGCTTCTCTGCCTACTTGTGATCTCTGTCTGTCAAATAAATAAATAAAAAATCTTAAAAAAAAAAAAAAAAGAATAGGGCTTAGAGCAGTGGGTCAAACTTCTCAGACTGTCACCCACAGTTAAGAAATACATTTTAAAAATCATGACCCTTGGGGCTCCTGGTTGGCTCTGTCGGTTAAGCGTCTGCCTTTGGCTCAGGTCATGATTTCAGGGTCCTGGGATCAAGTCCCACATCAGGTTCCCTGCTCAGCGGGGAGCCTGCTTCTTCCTCTCCCTCTGCCCTACCTGTTTGTGCTCTCTCTCAAATAAATAAATGAAATCTTAAAAAAAGAAAGAAAGAAACACTGTAACTCTCTGCTAAATTAACGATTTTAGACCCATTAATGGTTTACTGCCACCGGAGTCAAGTATTCAACACACAGCCATTTACCTAAGATTTTGGGCAAAAACAACAACAAAAAACTCTTCCAATAGTCATTCTGAGCTCTACAAGTTTCGTTCCACTGAAACCACACCATAAAACCGAGGGAGCTATGAATGAAGTCTAAGAAAATGGACAAAGCTTCTCTGTGCATCTGATACCTGCTGACGTGGGGACTGTCCCCTTGACACATCAGTGGCTAGCCATGAACATTCAGTAGCAATGGACAGCACCTCAGGATTCACAGCCACTCCTGGAAAAAGCTGGATATATCTGGGAGTGGCCTCTGTCTTCCATGTGAAACACCCAATTCTAGCATCGTCAGACTGCTTGAACCCAGGCCCAATGAGAATAAAATTAATGACTAAAAAGATACTTTTTTAGATATTTAGAAATACCCTTTTCAGATTTTTCTGAATCTCACAGGGAAGACAGGCAGATACAAGCAGACTCAGTTTCTATGACTTCACTGGGGGTTGGCATTCCGCCACTAAAATTATCTGGCCAAGGACTTTTTTGGAGCAGTGAGGAGGAGGAGAGGCTGGGTTCTTGGTTCTTACCTTTAACAGCAGATGTGACCACATCTTCTAAGATCTCCTTCACCACCTCCTGGGCCCCGTCATCAGTCCCTACACACACCAAAAGACACAAACACGAACATGTGGGTATTTCCCAGGAAACCAAAGGGGGAGAAGGAGGTCACATCTCAGGAGGCAAAGGGGCAAACAAGTCCTCTCCGAAGCCCAATCTGATTATGCCAAAAGAAAACAAGACCTGTGCAATCTGGAAACTCTTAGATAGCATCTGCTATGACTTTGAGTTTCCCTCTGTGGATCGCTCTTCCTTGCTAAAGCCCTCTCCACCAACCTGGCGCTGGACGCAGGAGCTGGATTTTACCCAGCTATGCTTCTCAGAACAAAAGATGGAGCTTTCTCTTGTGCCTTCACCTTGGGCACCCCAGAGCCTTGGGAAGTGACATGCCTCCTGTTGCTTCGCTTCCTTTGCACTCAGAACCACCCAGAACTCAGCATGAGACGTCTAATGTGGTAACTGAGGATTTACGACATTTTAAATTGAATTGTTCTGTCAGTGGTTAACTGCTTAAGTGGGAGAGCTTCGGCACCAGTTGTTTTGGGAGAACAAGTCAACGCTCCTGGACTAGACTTTTAGGAATCATCATGAGTGATTTCTCAAACATCCCATTGACCAAAAAGGCCACCACATTAAACCGAACCAAAATAAGCCTACAAATTCTTTTTGAATTCAGTAAGGCCTTCCGGTCAAGTCCCTATTTTTTTTTTTTTTAAAGATTTTATTTATTTATTTGACAGAGAGAGAGAGAGAGAGCGCGAGCGCACAAGCAGGCAGAGGGGCAGGCAGAGGCAGAGAGAGAAGCAGGCTCCCCACCGAGCAAGGAGCCCGATGCGGGGCTCGATCCCAGGACCCTGAGATCATGACCTGAGCTGAAGGCAGCGGCCCAACCCACTGAGCCACCCAGGCGCCCCTCAAGTCCCTATTTTTATGAGTTCTGTGTTTGATCCACAAGGTCCCGGAGAGCAGTACAAAGTATTTTCATTTCCACGGAGCAGCTGACCCCCCCAAACTATTTATTTGCCACCCACCCCCAAGCTTCACTGAGGTACGACTGGCAAGTAAAACCACCATAACTATTTAGATGGGTAAGTCAATCTCCATGGAAAATATGGATGTTGCATGCTTTTCTTAGAGGGCGGAAAAGAACTTGGGGGAAAAAAAAAAAGCCAGCGGCTACGGTTACAATCTCCTGCTCCCACATCTTCGTCTAAACAACGTGGTTTAGAATAGATGGGTGTGAGCACGTTTCAGGCGCTCTCGGGCCACCTTCGTCATGTTTGCTGTTTTCACCATCACGAGTATCGGTACGTGACACATGTACAGTTACCACTCCTCCTCACACTCACTCACCTCAGGCAAGACCATTCAAAGGACCAGAGGATTCATAAGCCAATTACATTTTCTGAACGTATGTTAAAATCCATGTGTCAATATTTATTTTTTTAGAAAAGATTTTATTTATTTATTTGACAGACAAAGATCACAAACAGGCAGAGAGGCAGGCAGAGAGAGGAGGAAACAGGCTCCCAGCCAAGCAGAGAGCCCGACTCAGGGCTCGATCCCAGGACCCTGGGATCAAGACCTGAGCGGAAGGCAGAGGCTTTAACCCACTGAGCCACCCAGGCGCCCCAATGTGTCACTATTTAAATAAACACTGTTTAGCAAACGAGCTGCCTAAAACCATCTCCTCTACATGTGACAAGGTATTTCCAAGTTCCCTTCCAGGTCTGGCATTCTCCGATGCCACGATGGCATACAATGATGATGGCAGCTGCCCATCTCTACCATACATTCCAAAGCCCAAGCAACACCAGCATGCTGAATGCATGTCATTGGGGGCGTGGGGGGTGGGGGGTGGGGTGGGAGCTGCAGGCTGGGGGAGGGGCATCAGAGGCTGTAAGGCGGAGCCTGTCCGGTATACCGGGCCTGCAGGTAGGCACTCTCTAGCCTGTGCACTGCTTCCCCGGACCCAGCTTTACGGCGGTATCATCGACAAGTGAGACTTGTACATACTTAGGGGGCACGACTCGATGATGTGATGTATGCATATGTATACAAATCACACTGTGAAATGGTCACCACAATCAAGCTGATTAACACTCCGTCCCCTCATACGGTTTCCGTTATCTTCCTTTGTCTGTGGTGAGAACACATAAGATCTACACTCGGCAAATTTCTAGCACACAGCACAGTGCTGTAACTATGGTCACGGTGCTACACGCTGCATCATCAAAACTCCGCACCTTATGTAACAAACTGTACCCCCAACCGGTATCTCCCCATTTCTGTGACCACCTCTCTACGTTCAGTGTCAACACATCTGACTCCTCTAGTGCCTTATACACGTGGAATCATGCAGTATTTGTCCTTTTATGACTGGCTTCTTTCACTAAGCATAACGCCCTCCAGGTTCGTCCGTGTTGTTACAAATGGCAGGATTTCCTTCTTTTTAAAGGCTGGACGATACTCCAGCGTGTGCGTGCGTGTCTACGTGTGCGCACTCGAGTGCTTTATCCATTCATCTTTTGACACTGACGTTACTCCCACATCTTGGCTATTGTGAATAACGCGGAACAGAGAAGTGCAGACGATCTCGTCAAGATCCTGATTATAATCTCTCTGAAGATATACCTAGAAATAAGACGTCTCGGTCATAAAGTAGTTGTATTTTTAATCTTCTGAGGAACCTCCGTACTGTTTTCCCTATCGGCCGTACCAATTTCCATTCCTGCGACAGGGCACAAGGGCTCCCTTCTCCCGACGTGCTCCCTAGCACCCGTCCTTGACCTTTCTGGTAAGTCATTGTGACAGGGGCAAGCGGGTATCTCCTTGTGGTGCTGATTTGCTTTCGCCTGATGATTAGTGAAACTGAGCACCTTTCAAAGTATGTGTGGGCCAATGTGTATGTCTTCTTTTGAGAACTGTCTATTCAGGTCCCTTGTCCATTTCTCAATGGGTTATTTGTTTTTTTGCTATTGAGCTGTAGACGTTCCTCGTATATTTTGGATACTTATCCCTTCTCAGATAAATGGCTTGCAAATATTTTCTCCCATTCCATAGGATGCATTTAAATTCTGTTGATTGTTTCACTGGCAGTGCTTATGGACTGTATTTTCTTTTTATTTGCATTAGCTGCGAACACTTAAAAAACTGGGAGACGTGGGGCGCCTGGGTGGCTCAGTGGGTTAAAGCCTCTGCCTTCGGCTCAGGTCATGATCCCAAGGTTCTGGGATTAAGCCCCGCATTGGGCTCTCTGCTCAGCAGGGAGTCTGCTTCCTCCCACCTCTCTCTCTGCCTGCCTCTCTGCCTACTTGTGATCTCTGTCTGTCAAATAAATAAATAAAATCTTAAAAAAAAGACAAAAAATAACAACAAAAAAAATTGGGAGATGTGTCATAAAAATCCAGATCTGGATTATCTGGCAACACCAGTCCACAGTGTCTGAAACTAGGAGCACCTGCCCGCTTTAGCCAAGGCATGAACTCTAAGATGTCCTGGTGCCTCAGTCCTTGCCACTGAGGACAGGTGTCATTACAGTGAGCAGGAAAGTGACATGGGTCTGTCAAGAGTGGGGAAAATGGGACACTGACAGGGTTGGGTGTCTGAAAGATATCAGAGTGAAAAAGCGAAAATGTTTCCTTATAGAAGTGACTTCAACACAGTGAGAAGAGTGAAGGCTCCAGAGCCAATGTGTCTGGTTCAGGTTCCTGCTCTGCCACTTCCCAATGTGGGGACTTACGTCACGTTACCTTTCCAAGCTTCAGTTCCCTCAGTAGTGGACAAGGATGATTTCAATAGTACTTACCTCATGGAGCTTTGTGAGAATTCAGTAAAATAACACCCAGAAAGCATTTAAAATGGTGTTTGTAGAGTGAGGACTCAAGTGTTAATTTTTCTTTGGTCTGTAGAGTATGATTGTGCTGAGACATTCCTGATGCCCTCATGAGAGAGGCCCTCTCATTTCTTTCTTTCTTTCTAATTTAAATTCAATTACCCAACATATAGTACATCATTAGTTTTTGATAAACTGTTCCATGATTCATTAGTTGCGTACAACACCCAGTGCTCATCACATCACATGTCCTTTTAAAAAATTTACTTTGGAGAAAGATAGAAGAGTGCACGCATGCGTGGAGGGGGGAGGGCCAGAGGGAGAGGAAGAGACAGAGAGAGAGCAAACTCCCTGCTGAGTGCAGAGCCTGACACAGTGCTCGATCCCAGGACTCTGAGATCTGAGATCGTGACCTGAGCCGAAATCAAGAGTTGGTTCCTTATCCAACTGAGCCACCTAGGCGCCCCAAGGCCTTCTCACGTCTGCCACTTGCCTGGCCCTGGAGACTAAGTCCATACAGAGGTTTCCCAACTAGGGGCACCCGGGTGGCTCAGTTGGTTAAGCCTCTGCCTCTTGATTTTGGCTCAGGTCCTAGACTGAGCCCCACACTGGGCTCCATGCGGGGCATGGAGTCTGCCTGAGATTCTCTCTCTCCCTCTGCCTACCACACCCTACCCACTGTCTCTGTGTCAAATAAATAAATAAATAAATAAATAAACAAATTTAAAAAAACAGACAAGAAATTTCCCACTAACCACACAGTTTCAGTTACTTAAAGCCATCACTATCTTTCATTCTAAAGAGAAAAAAAATGTCCACTTTTACAGGGATCCTCCTCTTCCCTCACTGCAGTTTTCCCACTTAAACAGCACCAGGACCACCATTTTTTGGAGGAATAACAGCGTTTAACTCACTTTCCTTGACAGGCTGTATCCGTAGCAGCCACTGTGCGATATCAAAATCTTCTCAGGCCAGGAAGGCGTGGGAGAGTCATGAAGCCCCAATTCCAAAAGAAGGCTCCCGCGGAGGCAGTTGCCGCTGAAGAGCCCCTAAAGAGGCCCAGAGGTAGCAGGACCCCCATGGTATCCCTGCCTGCTTCCCCTGCTGACACATCAGCCTGTGGGAGGGCTGAGAAGAGGCCTTCCAATGCGATAATAACCACTAAAAAGTCTGTTGTGTTTAAGTTTCAAGCATGCTGTCAAA